TCATACTATCATATGACTTAACAGTCCCGCGGGACCACAAAAACTTGACCGGCTTTAATAATCGTAAAAGAAAGACATCGAGATATATATCAAAAAGTGTAGGCTTCTGCGTAATTATTATATAAAATATTGGCAGAAGCCTACACTTTTCTAGACGTAAGGCGGGCGCACAACATTGTACATCAATTGGAAATGCTATTGTTATGTGGCCCGCTATATTTGGTGTTGGTTGTAAATCTGTTTGTTTTCAAGGGGCGGTTAGTAGACTAGCCATAAATATTCGTACATTCGCTATTTCGATGTTCTCAGAATAAGATCTGTGGATATTCGAAAAATAGGGCATACCGATGCCCATAAACAAATATATGCGCTATTTTAACACGACCACGTAGTGCTAATTTAATTTTTATGTGCTGGAAAAAATAAGTATTTATTACCGCGGGACCGTTTTTTATTTTGGTCTAAGTTGAGGCTAAAATAGCGATCACTCGATATTCGGGTTTATATGAGTTATGGATGGTAAATTATTTTTTATTACTATCGCTACGTAGCGTCGGGACAATTTTGCGAACGGTATTACAAGCCATATGAAATTAGGTTATGGCTTGTGTCACTCTCCTGCAGAATTAATTCTCACGGTCGATTTATTTTATTAACGAATATTACGAATAATGCTAATAATGTGAATAATGTCTAGACCCCTTTCCTTACTTTATATGATCCCGCGATAAGAATGAGACTTAAAAAAGCTATAAGGGTAATGAGTATAACGCTCTTAATCAGTAGTTTTATCCAAATTCATATGTCGCAGGAACTTGGAATCTCCGCCATCTCCGAGATCGTCAAGATCTAGCCTTCTTAACTTTTCCGGTTGCGATCGTCGAATCTAAGGGGGTTAATTTTACCAGAAAAATAACAAAATAGATGTGTTTGGAACTTATGACCGAGCGGAGTTGCTTTATGGGAAAAAACTGGCGTTAGATTTGGTTAGCGTAATTACTAATGGATTTTTCCTTCTGGCAGGGTAACGAATGTGAAGTATAAATAAGCAAGTTCCCACCCACAAGATAAGTTAGCAATAACTATATTTTTGCTCATATATATTTTTTACTTGATTTACTCGCCCGTAATTTGTTTTTAAAGTAATTTGCTATTTCGTTTTAACGGGACTATGAAAACGAATTTTTACTTACTATGATTTTTGTATTTAGGAACGAAAAATGAGCAGTGCTGACGATATCACTACCACCAAAACTAACGATACCACCACCACCAAGACTAACGAACCCAACCCTAAGACTAATGGATATATTTATCTTAACTGTCTTATTACATTCTGCGTACCGCATCATTTTTTTAAAATCAAACTTTTTAAAGGAAATACTGTTGAAACATTAGAAACTCAAGTTCAAGCCCGTTTGTCCCTATTACCACCTGGTGCAGCTAATACACCTCGCCGGTTTCTTATATTTCGCCCCCAAGGGGGATACGTAAATATGCATCCCCATACTAATCTTTATACTCTTTTCAGTAATAATCCTGATCAAAATATTATTCATGTACTTGTAGAACAATTACCAGGATCAGAAACACAAATTATTTAGATTTTTTTTATTTGTATATTATGTTGTCGTCCCGGCAATATATTTTTTATAATAATAAAGAGAGGGGGTCCGCTGGGCTCCCAATTTTTTATTTTTACGCGATTTTATGAAATAAAGACCATTCATAGCACGTCATGCTTCTAACTGACTTTGGTACTTTATTAATGAGCGATAAAA